AACCAAGCGACCAAAGTAGCAAATGTTACCATCACTCATAGGTAAAAGGAATGAATTTTTCATAAAAAAAAGAGATTAAACAATTTCAGCGTATGTATGGACGAATGTGTATGGGCTGTAAATCTCGATGCTGCTTTTCCACTTTTCGAAAATTTCATGAATCAGACATCTATTAGATGGCACTATTCACCTTAGTCCAGCAACAAGTCTAAGGATAAGTCTCAGATATAAAATATCAATGATTCTGACTTTACATTGTTCCACGATTTTAGTCATACAAGATAAGACGGGATGCTGCCAGTGATCATGAAAGATCACTAGTTGTAATAGTTGTCTCGCTTCAGGTGTGGAACCGAAAGTCGGACTCTTCTAAGGACACAAGCAAATGCATTCGGGACAGCAGAGAGTAGCATAATTTGATCAACAGAGTTGACCCCATCGTAGCTCTCGCAAATCCACTTCAATAGGTTCCAACGTGACAGACAGTTCATGGTTCCTTTCTTAATAGTGTTAGTCAAAACTTAAAATCTTGTTTAAGATAGTAGGTTGGTCAGTGGCCATCTGCTATTTTGGACTCATGATGCATAGAAGACGATTTCAATTTGTCATCTATTCCAAATATAGAGTTTATCTGCTGGAGTTTGGTTCCACTTGCCCTAAATTATCATCTGTTAAAGACAACGATTGGACTAGGCCTATATCGAACTGGAAGTCAACCACCAGAAGGAATAACTAGAGGAGTGGAATTCATGGAAAACTAAGGCTATATTTTCCCCTCCAACTGTTAGCTAAGAATATAACAAGAAATTCTATCCTACAGTTGAAACAATGTAACTTACAAAAGGAATGGGATTCTCATCAGTCAAATTGCTTGATATAATCGCCTAGCCCTCAAAGGAAAGTATATAGCATCTAGCCAAGCCGTTGATTTTGCATGTTACCTTTCTCCAACTAGAATAGGCTTTGATCCAGACGCACGACAAGGAAACGTTCTCCAAGCCCATATTTGGAGATTAACAAAAACTGGCACTGCTTGTTCTCGATATTTTCATGCTACCAACATTTATTGGTTTCCTCCATGAATGCTTCATGCATGTTCTAAGACATCTTTTGACATATGCCCCGTGTCTGATCCAGTATGCGGCTACTACGTCCAAGTTTTTGATAGGAAATGTTTCAAATCTAATAGTCAAATCTAACAGTAAACCAAAGATGTGACTTGTACATGAGCGCCTTCTCTCTTACAATACATGCCTTCATATCATAACCTACCTTATCTGCACAGTCATCATCTTTCCCTTCGGCTTAGGCTAACTCCCACTCGGCTTTAGCGGCTGCTGGGTCCTCAACTGATAGGCCACTAATGACACGGGCTTGGCGACGAGTGATGATAAGCCGTTTGGCTGTTCCGTCTCGGAGGTCAAGTGTGCCTCAGAACCGAGTGGACAGAATTGACTTTTAATGGCCGAAGGTGGGCCACAGCAACTTGACTTGATTGTGATTGGCTGTTGTCCCGAAAGCGGGCGATTCTGGTCTACTATTGGGCCCTCAGTTCCCCTAAACTTTGCTGGGGGAGGCGACGCGTCAGAGTCGACGTCATTCGTTAAGCTCATGCCAGTCACCAAGCGGACAGGAGAGGGGGATAATAAAATTGCCGCTTGGGATACTGATTGTTGCTGAGATGAAGAACTTGATGTGGGTTGGCTGGGCTCGCAAGCCGAAAGGGAGTCCGGACAAGGCGATAGAGGTGTCGAGGCGTAATTGCATTCTGCTGTACAGATTGCCACGTTTTGAACCTGGATAAAATAGGGTTTAAGCGAACAGATCACCTGGAATAAGGCTCTTAAGCATTCGGTATGCACGAAGAAAAACTGGATTACAACAGAACTATTGAGAAGATATGAATACAAACTGGGTTTCGAAGGATTCCTTAGTAACATATTGTAACAAGACTTACCATTTCGAAGTTCGTTGTAAGGAATTTGGTATATTGTATCAT